CAGTTCGTCAGCTGGTTGTACGTCTCTCGGCTGTGGGAACAACGAAAAAAACTTCAAGTTCAAGTTTTCAAGTTCAAGTTTTATTCATAAAAATCAGCCTTGCAGCTAGTGCACAAACAAGCTGAATAACACTGATTTTTTACAATTGTGTAGTAAGGCCACACCAATTTAATTTCTTGGTTAACGGATTTTTCTAGAAAAATGGAGCGGGTGGGCGAAAAAAAAAAAAATAAAAACAGGCCTAGGCATCCTATTATGGCCCAAAATGGTACGATAGGAGCCATGAAGTCAACACACTAGGCTGGTTCAAAATTTAAACAATGAATTTTGTACTTTTAATGATACCACTGCGTTGAAAGATGGAATAACTATAACAACTAGGAAGATAAGGACTGTTTTCAACTGTTCAGGGCAAAATATGAGCATTTTGCAGTTGATTCTAAATTTTTATTTTTATTTGCAAATCAGAAAAAAATGAAGCGGGCGAATCCGTTAACCAAGAAATTAAATTGGTGTGGCCTAAGTACAAATACAAAATTAACATTACGATATGTATACAGTCACACAAACATACACATTACAAAGCCACACATGGGCACTAAAGTACAGTCCAGAGAGTCCTGCGAGTTACTGCAAAGACTTGTTGTACAGGCATATTGCCTTGTGTAAGAAAGAGTTTTTCAGTCTTTTTGTACGGGCCGCTGGTACCGTACATTTGTGAGTGCAGTTCCATTTCTTAAGGTCCTCCCAGTGGCCGTTGTCCTGGCCGGTGGAACCAGGTCATGGAGGGGGTGACCCTCGTTCAACATGTTCTTAAGTAGCTCAACTTTACAAATGGAACATCATACTTTCAAACCTCTTGATCAGGGCTCGAAATTAATGGTGTCCGATGGCCAGTGACCACTAAGATTTAAGCTGGGACAATTAAAAAGACAATTTGGGACATTTTCGGGACAATAGAAAAATAGTCAACATCAGAATATGCCAGCCCTCCTTTTGTTTGGCTCCGGAAAAAGCTCACCAAAATTTCCTGGCGTAGACTTTGTAACGATAATGTCATTTAGGATACAGGAGTTTTCTTTCACACAACCAATTCTCTCACCTAAAGTGCCACCGTCAAAGCGCTACCTACACTGGCTACATATAGCAGCGAGAAGCAGAACTCCAGGCAGAAACTCTGAGGAAGGTGTTTTTACAGACTTTTTACTGAAAAGTGCCACCTATCAGCTTTTCAACAAACTGCAGAGTATGCATATAGCCAGTATAACCACCTTTCGGCGTAACACACCAGCTTCTGTATCTGTATAGCCGGTATAACCGCCTTTCGGCGTAACACACCGCGGCATGCGGCGGCAGCTGGCTATATAGTATATTACACTGATCGATCAACAATCACACTGCAAACTGGGACTCTATGAACGCTATGGAATCATGCCTTCCAAATCTAGGGTCAGGATTCCAAGACGATAGGAATTTTTATTGCTCTGATTTATTGCTGACATGAAAGATTGTAGTCATTGTTTCTTGTATCTCAAAGAGGTTGATTGAGATAACATGCTGTTTTACCCGGGGAAAAGTGCTGATTGGTCAAATTTCTGATAAAACTGCTTCTAATTGGCCCATTTCTGATAAAACCACTGCTGATTGGTCAAATTTCTGATAAAACTGCTTCTAATTGGCCCATTTCTGATAAAACCACTAGTACTCCTGTCCACATCATGCTAAAAGCTCTCTGGAGACTGTGAACAAACATACAACGACCTTTCCTGTTGAAAGGGTTATCACCAAGGCCTGAAAGTTTTGTGTGTTCAGCCTAAAACGAGAGATGATCGTTCCCAAATGAAGTTAGCTAGCCACCCACTCAATCTGGATCAGGGCCAGTAGTCTACTTCCCGGCCGGAATTCGTGTTTCCACAGAAGAAAGACCGTGGGCGGACATCTGGTCGAATCAACATCACCTCTATTAGGCCACACCAAGTAAATTTTATGGATGACGTCCTTTGGAGACTCTAAATCTAATGCGAGAGGGCGAAAAAAAACAAGAAGGGCCCTAAAGAACAAGATGCCTAGATTAGAATATACTAAGAGACGGCAAATGTTAGGACACAAATTGAATGAGGTGACACAGTGTAACAAGCAAGAAGTCTTTTATTCATCATCAAAAAGCAATAAATCAGGTGGAACAGAAGTTGTCGTCCTGTCCTGTTTTCGCGTTGCGGGTTTCACGTCAATCTGACGATTTGCGGCACTGTCGTGACTCTTTGGTCATAGTTACAGGAAGCGGAATTTCTTGTTTTTTTTTCTAGGACAGCCCAAAATCAATGCGCGCGCGGACGTCATCCATAAAATTTACTTGGTGTGGCCTTATAGGAAACACTTCCTCGTATCTGACAGGACACGGCACCGCCCAGTATGACACATGTACATGTAAACGCACAAAGCTGTTCAACCTTCTCTCCGCCTGCTCAACAGAATTTGGTACATTTCATGCTATAGATAAATCTAATTTCATCCTAGAAGGCAATAACCCTTACTGTGTACAAATAGGTAAATATATGTTTAGACCTCAGAACAAGTAGTATCAGTTGACCCATCTATTGTTTTGTACGTAGGATAATTTCGTACCCATGTATAGTTGTCTTAGACCTTACGAAAGTCGCTGTACTTTTGTTGTGTCAATAGAGTTCTCTATAATGTAAAAACACCCTTCAGTCCCAATTCTGATATTTTCACTGTACTGTTATGTTCACTGTTTTTTCACTGTCACTTCTGTACCGTGAACTTATCATTACAGCTAACAAATAATTCCTGGACTTTCTTTTCCCTGCACCTGTCGCCACCATGAATGTATAGTTCCGTGAACGTGTCCATTTTTCTCAGACGGTGAACATATCTCTGTATAAAACTAGTGTCAAACCATTACCTATCAGACATGGAAATACTGGGTGCATGTGTACCTTACTGCACCCAAAATTGGAGCGTTTTTTTCTGTGGGTGCACCCAAATAGTTACAGCATATTCTTTAATTCTTAAATGTCAGAAAAGTAATAAAATCATTGTTATACTATAGTACCACACTTCTCTTCAGAAATGAAACATTTGAATTTTCTGACATTCTACTTATTTTTTTTTATATGGTGCACACAAAAAGTTTTTTGTGCACCTAATTTTTTTAGGTTGGGTGCACCAATGCACTTATTCCCAAAAATGGATTTTGAGTCCTGTACTTGCAACACTTTCTCGTATCTGACAGGACAAGGCACCACCCTCTATGACATCATGTGTAAAAAAACACCCTTCAGTTCAGATATCTCTCTAACTAGTGTCAGGACACGGTCTATATGATTTCCTGATGCTAATGGTAATACCAAATGTCTGCTAGATTTTGTTTCAGCTAGTGTAATACTATCTGTCAATTACGACACTTCCCTGTGCCCTGTTCCCTTTTTATCACATCCATGTTACATGTTATATCTATCAAGGTTCAACCATAACTACCACCATTGTTTCCTTTACTAAAGAAACCTTTTGTTGGTCAGAAATTGATCTAAGTGATTCAAAGCTGTCAGCCAACAGGGTTGCATTAATACGCTACTCAAAAGCGCTTAAACAAATGTTAAGTTGTTGCACGTTGCACACCATTATTTTACAACCGAACTTTGTTGTGAATTTTTTACGAAGAGTACTTGCAAGATAACAGATGTGTTATTTAGTGCTGCTGCTTCTCTAAATCAAATTCTGTGCTTTTTCTCTCTCCAGCTGAAATACATTCTACAACATGCTTCCTGACACTGAAATTCAGACTAAAGCTGAGGCAAGTGGCAGGCTGCCATCAAGCCCCAGTATTGCTGTGCAAGCACGTCTAACCCTCGGAAGACAGGGAACAACAGACAATAAACCGGATAGTTAGTGTGAGTGTGTGAGTTGGCAAACATCCATGTTGATGGAAACTGAAGACTTTCCTAATCTCCTTTGAAAAGGTCGCCTAGAAACTGTATCTGGCTGCTTTCTGCGGTAAGTATGGCCTGGTATTCGGAGGTTAGGAAGTGCACGACAACAAAAAACTCTGTCACAGACAACACCTGTCCTCAGCCTGTCACGAACAGTTGAATTCAAATACAAACTTTATTCATCAACTTGGCAGACTGAATTGCGTTGATTGTACAATTTTGCCAATTATAAAAACACAGTACTGTTAATAAGCAACATATCATCAGTTAAAAAGATATTATATTACATAATGGACACACAGTGATAAAAGTACGTAATATGTATAAATGTGGACGACAGAAAAATATGGGCCTTAGCCTGGATTTTGCAGGTCTTTGATGGCCCTCGGAACAAAGGAGTTTTTGTGTCTTTCAGTCCAGCTGAAACAGGTCGCGGGTTCGAATCCTACAATGTCACCGATGTTGTGCCCTTGGGAAAGGCACTTTACACGACTTTCCTCACTTCACTCAGGTGGAAATGAGTACCTAGCTTTGGTTAGGGACGTCCCTCGGATAGGACGTTAAATGGAGGTCCCGTGTTTGGGAGAGCCACACCCCACGCACGTTAAAGAACCCACCACACTTATCGAAAAGAGTAGGGGTCCTTTCCGGTGTGAGTGGTTCAAACCTTACAGTCCGGTCTTACACAGCTTGTACCTACATGTACAAAGCTGGTGTGTTACTCCTAAACGCGGGTTAACAATTATGCGAAACAAACTAAACAGGAGGCAAAGCCCTCAGGGGAGTAAACAGGTAAATTTTTCTGTCATAGCAACAGCAGCTGCCATTCTGTCCCCCTCTTCTCTGCAGTTCCTTTTTAATCTGACAGGAGGCAGCACTGCACTGTACATATTGCAACCACCTGTTCATAAACTATCAGTCAGTGCTTTACCGAAATGGGCCTCTTTTTACTTAATTGATAGATGTGAGAGCAACATTTGCCCTGTAGAAATATACACCAGCCCACAAGAGAGAGACACTTAAATGTTCTCCAGTCTTGCTTTGGGCTGTATTCATACAGTAAACTCACGTCGGCAGAACATACTGCACCTGCGGGAAACTCACGGGTTTCATTGGATGTTTGGTGAACGTTGCATCAGAATATTGCCTGTTTCAGATGATATCTATTAGGACACATCACTTGAAGACTATAGACGGGATGTCATCCTTAAATACATGAATACGGCCTTAAACAAGACTTTTTGCCAAAGTGCTGTGTACAACACATGACAGGTTTCAGGGAGGCATAACTTTAATCCTTTTAGAGCAGCCATACCTTGTGATGTCATACACCAGCAGGGCCCCTGCAGCTCCCCTGTAGTAGCTTCTGGTCACAGACCTGCAAAATGCAACGACAAATTCATTATAGCCATCTCATCATTCTTACTACTACTAGTAGTAGTAGTAGTCTTTAATAGTATCCAGTCTTTGATTATACTGTCTTTTACTACCCTGAAGAATAAAACAAAATTCATTCATATGATGTTGCTGAATTGTAGTACGTTGTTTTCTGCTTTTAGTTACAGACTTTCCAACACCATTAGCATCCGAAGCTCAAAGAACATAAGCTTGCCAATAAACACAGAAATGCTTTTGCTGGAGCAACGATTCACCTATCTTGTGAATGGTATCTCCAAATTGACGTATCTGGCAGCCTTTCGACTTACAACTTGATAAAGACTACAACATGACATGACCCTTGACCTAACCTGACCCCTGACCTGATGTGACCCCTGACCTGATGTGACCCCTGACCTGATGTGACTCCTAGCCTGGAATAACCCCTGACCTAACATGACCCCTGACCCAACCTGACCCCTGACCTGAATCTCTCCTGGCCTGCAGTGTCCCAGATCTGCAGCTTGACAGACTTGCCGCCGACGTTCACCACCTTGGAGCCGAACTCCACCCCGATGGTGTGGCTCGAGTCCTGCTTAACTGCAAGGAAAGAGGTCAAGACAAGTTTGAGTACTAGAGAAGTAACATTTGCAAAGCAAATGCATAATGTTTACCTTCGGATACGGTCTGCTCTGTTAATTCTTACTCAAACACATTTGCATACATGTACATGTATATGGTGACAGGAGTCTACATGCCTACTATGAAATTACTACATTATGTAACCCAACACTAGTTACCATGGTGACAGACGTCAACAAATCAGGTCATTGACCAGGTCAGAGGTCAGTGTTTGGAGAAGAAGAAGAGGAGGAGGAAACGTAGCAAAAACAATATGTTTTCCTTCAGTAAACATAATTACAGGTTTCGCTCAGGCACAGTATAATTTGCTGACGTGTTCTGGACACCAGACATCCTGGATTCCTGGTACTGGATATTCCATGAAACATGAGTCACTAGGACTGGAGACGTTTCAGTTTATTACGATACCCTTTAGCCCGTTAGGGCTAATCTTCCAGGGCTCATTCCACATTCCACATTACACACACAGTACAAATATACACATATGACTACAAATTTACATACGCATTGAGGTCACACGTCAGACAAGGTACTAATTATAGCTAAAATCATTGAACGAGCAAATTATCGGCTAAGTGTGAAAATAATATTACCATAGCAGACATTTCTAACACAGGGCTCGAAATTCATTTTTGAGAATAGGTGCACCTAAAATATTGGGTGCACAAACATTTTTGGGAGTGCACCATATAAAATTGAGCTAGAATATAAGCAACAACATATTATGTTTTATGTCTAAAGAAAAGTACTACAACAATGATTTTATTATTTTTCAGACACTTAGATTATGCTGTATATGACAGACGTATGTAAACCTCCAAAATATTTGGGTGCAAAGGTGACTACCCATAGAAAAAATTGTTCCAAATTTGGGTGCACTAAGGTGCACATGCACCCAGTATTTCCAGCTCTGTAACAGCATCTTCCATTTTTCTTCAGCCTTATGCAAATGTCCCTGATATAATGTAATGAGAGACTCCATTGAAAGCTTCTGTAATCCGTCTATACGACCAGGATAATTACATCAGATACAATAGCCTGAATATGAAAGGGAAAAAACGACAACTGAAACATCGGGGCAATCATTAATATGTGTATCCAAGTCTTGCAATTTACAAAATGCAGGTCAAGCCAAGAGTCATATGCTGTATTGAATTCAGCAACCCTATTCAGTAAGCATATGGACTGGGCTTTTGGGGCACTATAATGTGCCATTTTCTCAATTGCATGTAAGGCTCACTTTAGACTGGAAACGCTTGAGGGGTTTCAGGGTGGAAAAACGTTTCCGATGGGTTAACCGTTTCCAGTATAAAGACGAAAAAACTCTATTTCATGGGGTTTTACGAAACATGTCCGAAACCACCTCCACCGTGGTTTTCAAAGCCTTCAGCGGGGGGCCTCATGAAATCCTTCCTGCTAGGTCTAACGAGAAAGGGTTTCGCAAAACGGCATGGGCCATGTGCTAAAGTGGGCCTTAGTCTGATTGTAACTGAGCAAAAACTACATGTTTCGCTTTTGCAAAAGGCAAATATAGTTCTCAATTAGTAGTATATTCCTCAATCAGTGCCTCTTTTGAAAGGTAGAAACACGTACCTCCAAATTTTCGATGTCTACTGTACATCTTGATCACGGAGTGACCTAGTCTCGCGAGAACACGAGACTAGGTCGAGACTTGTGAGGATCGAAAATTTGGAGGTACATGTTTCTACCTTTCAAAAGAGTCACTGATTGAGGAATATACTACTAATTGATAATTCTACGTGACTGATGAACCTCTTCAACAGTCTCCTCATCTATGTACAACAGATTTTGCCAAACCTACAGTTTAGAGCAACCCTGTACGTGGCAGTTATCTTGTGGTTGCGCTACTTGTCTGGCCACAAGACCGCGCTAACTGTGATATCACTGCTGGCTATATAACTGTCGTTATCTGTTGTCTCGAATCAATAACTCTCACTTTGTTAATAAGGTGACTTGCCTTGTAGTTCTAAGTTTATTCATTTGTTTCTCAAATTGTATTATGTGATTTGATTACTTTTTGTATTGTTTTGTCATTTTATTGGTATGGCGGCTTTGAAAAGGTGTTTCGTGTCAGAAACACCTGTTTCGCCATGCCATCCACAGTGCATATTGTACGTGGTAAAACTTAATAAACAAATAAAGAAACAAATATATTTCTGTTGCTCACATTTGCTCTCGATGAACTGGTGCAGGATACAGGACTTCCCTGTTCCCGCCGCTCCGATCACAAGGAACTTGAACAGGAAATCTGCAGAGAAAAAAAAAGGAAACAATTTTCATAATGATATGATATGATATGAATCTTTATTGCATGTTCTTGCCCAGATGGGCTAAATGCACAAGAGGATGTCCAGTATGTAAAACATGAGTATTACATACTGGAACGCTATATTCTAATGCTAATTGCTAGTAATTTATACATTACAACAATACTATATACTACCTATCATCTACTGTTAGTTGCCCTTTCTTCTCTCTTTTTGAAACATTTAGAAACATAATTACATAGTTTGTCTGCTATACATTCGTTCTTGCATGACATCAAGTGTTTAAATGTGTCCTGCTTTGACATTTTCTTGCATATCTTGTCCAAATGTAAAATATTGAATAGTTCTTGGCGTTCATCTTTATATAATGTACAGTCAAGTAGAAAGTGTATCTCGTTTTCAACATATAAATGATTACAGAATTCGCACATTCTATCTTTCAGAGGGGTACGGCTATGCCTGCCGGATTCATAATATGTCTACAAAGCTGCTTTCTCTATCTGTACGAGTGTATCTATAGTCGGTAAAACCGCCCTTCAGTGTAACACCAGCTTTGCAGGCACGCGGTGCGGTGGCAGCTGGCTACGTTACAAGTTACATTTTAAAGTGGTATATGATTCTTTAAGAATATAATCAGTTGCTTTATTTATTTTGTAATAAAAAAAATTGTATCACAAAGTTCTGCCTGGATGTCTAACCTTCGTTGATGTCTATAATGATATCAACATTATATTATTGCTTGGTTTATTTTGCACCACATAATGTTCTACCTACATCAGTACATGTCCATTGTCCAGTTTTCATCCATGTCTATAAATATAATATCAACATTTGCAGTTATGCTCTGTTGGCAGGAGATTAAAATCACTTGGTTCCTCTTTCATTGGCCACAAAAAGGAAGTGATATTTGTGGGCAAACTGTGCCCTGAAACCGATAAAGATCATTGTTGGTTCAGCAAAATACAAAACCTGAGTGAAAATCTGGTGGAGTGGAAGTATTTCTGCAGTAATGTTGGTAATGTGATATAGTAGTTGCTGCCATCTGATCTAAGAGAATCATGATTATTGTGTTAAGAGCAGTTTTGGATTATTATTAGTTGGGGCAAACAATATTATAATGTCCCCACGTTTACAATATAGACATTTCCTTGATCATATATATTGACCCTTTGACATAAGTCAGTCTGTGTACATATTTGCCCAATTAATGTAATGTCATTAAAATCAGAACTGTACATATTGTACTAGTAGTACAGGCTTTGGTCTGGTAACTCGTTGATCTCAATACCTTGAGGCATCACTGAATGTATGTCAATGATGGTTCGACATCCAGGTAATGAGATACACAAGAAATCAATCATTGACTGGATGGGGGTTGAAAATCTGTCAGACTCAGAGGTAGCATCCACTACTTTTCGTAGCTGAACTGTGTCTTAAACTTATGAAAAACTTAAACTTTTCTCCAACTCAAAATTTGACTCACCAGAAATTTTCGACCGAATCGCTCAGTCTTCCTCAGCTATCTGACCCAAATGCTGTGGACACGTGATTTTTCCCATGTGACGTCAGCAAAGGGTCAAAGGTTGTCTGAAGTCGATATCGCCCCCCGTCCCGGTTGAGCAGCATTTGGGTCAGATAGCTGAGAAAGACTGAGTGATTCAGTCGAAAATTTCTGGTGAGTCAAATTTTGAGTTGGAGAAAAGTTTAAGTTTTTCATAATGTAATTCTACCAACTCAGATGAACTTTCATGCTGGTGTCTTAAATGTATTTATTCGTAACTGTGAAAACATATTGCAGTAGATGCAGATATAATGTCCATTAATGGCTGATTGTAACTCCTATAGTTCTAATCAGGAGTGACACTGGAAATTACGAGAGAAAGGTATTAAACAGCATCTGTTTTGTATCTGTATGGCCGGTATAACCGCCCTTCGGCGTAACATACCAGCTTCTGTGTCTGTATAGCCGGTATAACCGCCCTTCAGCGTAACACACCAGCTTATGTATCTGTATAGCCGGTATAACCGCCCTTCAGCGTGACACACCAGCTTCTGCATCTGTATAGCCGGTATAACCGCCCTTCGGTGTAACACACCAGCTCCTGTATCTGTATAGCCGGTATAACCACCCTTCAGCATAACACAGCAGCTTCGCAGGCACGTGGCGTGGCGGCAGCTAGCCATAGTACATCGTACAACCTGTTACACCCAACCTTTGCACATCTAATTGCAGGAGTTGTTTACACCTTTCTAGTGATGATGCCCCCAACTGTGCTTGATGGCAATGAGTTCCACTCTACAATAGTTCTTGGAATACACGAGTTTTTGAAGACCTCAATTCTTGGTCGATAACTCTTGATATTTGAAGGCCTGACTGTTTCTTGTTAATTTCTGGGCTGGTATCAGATACTTAGTGGTTGGTACATCCACCAGTTTGGGCAAACAGTAGGGCCTGCATGGGGGGGGGGGGTAGTTATTACAAATTACGCAAAATTTTCTCCGCCGATTACGAATTACGCTTAAGTCTCAGAGCTGATTACGACTTTACGCTTTGCAGCTAATGTACTATTACGAATTACGTTGATTTTTGGGGAGGCTGCCTACGGATTATGAAGACCAAAAAGGCCTGATTACGACTTAGGAAAAAGGGCATGCAGACCCTCTAACAGGTGATCCCAGGATGGGAGTTCAGAGGTCAACAAAAGGTAGGGCTGGGTGATCTAACCAATGGATCCACATCAGATCCACGATCCAGATCACAATGGCACGATCAGAAACAGTTTTCTCAACGTTATAGTCTACAAACAGGACGATTCACTAAGTTAAAATCACAAGCACTGACCATCATAATTTTTCAGGACAGGACGATTCAGTTACCACACTAAGATATCGATATCACACAGTGAATGATTATCTACATATTTGACACTGTGCAAACACACAGATCGTCCGCTGTACAGGCCTGAAGAGCACATGTAGTTGTCCAGTTTCCGCCAAGAGTCATGTCGGACAAGATGTTGACTTCTTGATTGCGTATCTACTGTTTGGGAGGGACTGTTAATTTTTGGTGGCGTGTCACACATCACATACAGTATTATAAGTACCGTTTAAACGGACTCTGCACCGTCTATCACCAAAAATACCGAAGCCCAGACTGTCTAGAATCTTACATAACCTGTTTGATACTCGGTTAAGGAACGTACCGTAAGATTCTGACATCTTCTCAGCTCCACCTTCTACAGTACGGAAGTGTCGGAAGTAAATATCCAAAAAGAAAATGGCGGACGGGAAAGATCATGTGACTCAGTGGTGAATGTTGGGATGGATGGAAGAGACGATTTTTCCTTTCCTCTCTTTCTAGTACGAATCGCTGTTTTCGTCGTAAGTAAATGGGTCGAATTTTCTGGAGTTACGAGCAAAAGCTTCGACAGGGACATCTAGAATTGACGACAGACATGTGACCTACAAAATGCGGGGTGAACCATTTGATGACTGGGGGAGGATAGGGACATGGCAGATGATGCTGGGATGGAGTTTGCAGATGCTTCATCGGAGGATGGCAAAACTTCTCATGCTTTTGAACTGTTCAATTCAATGCAGATTATAGATATTTATAGAAAGGTATAAAGAAGTGAAGAATGTTATTGTTAGCCAAATGTTTGTTACCAAATGTAACTACAGTACCGTTAACGTTAATAGTTAAATGTTGACGACTAAGCTTGGCCGGCCATGGGGTAAGACCAGTACCTGTATAGTAGTGAAGAACCAGCCAGTAGGCTTCTATTTTGGAACCCTGATACAAAGAGAAGAGTTGGACGTCCAAACATAACACTTAAGAAACTTGTAGAAACTGAAACAGGCTTGGAGGGCCAAGAACTTATTGCCACCTTCCTCAACTGAACCACAACCTTTACCTCAATACCTCAACACATATTTTTTACAGACAGTTACTTTGTGTGGTTTGGATGAGTTGGTTGTTATATATAAGGATGTGCAGATGACATTAGATAGGTCAATGGAACCAATCAATGATGTTCAAAAGTAAGATAACATTCAACTTTATTGGTACTCTCTTTCTAGACCTTATCTCATATAACTTTATAACTGAAACAACAACATTGTCAGTCCATTTCAATGTGAATGAATGTGACTGAGTGACAATCTATTCTGTAATAAAGAAAGACCCATGCAACACAGATAAAAATGCTTTAATATTCACACTATCTCAATATTGCAATGTTGACAACTCAAAACACATGCACCTTTCCCACTTACGTACTTCTTTTGTGATCATGCCGAACATTACATCTAGAACATTACAGTTCTTTAACACTTAAAAGAACTCAACATGTAGTAAATTTTTATGTAGTTTCTTAAAAAATTTTCTTCATTTATTTGTGCTATCAATATAACATAAGTCTAATGTACAACTTATAGGGAAGACTAGGAGTAAATGTAGTTTGTAAGTTTTGTCAAGGGTATCAATGAATGCTCTACAATGGCATAAGAAATGATAATCAGAGAGTGGGATATATGTATCACTAAAAGTCATAAGGGTGATTAAAATTATCATTATCTAATTGCACCATCTAGTTAAACTTAGACAAACTTGATTCAAAAGTGTATCATTGTACATGTAACGTTATCTGTTGACAGTAGATTTATTTGAAAAAATATAGACTGTAGCAAAATGAGTCCCTGTGTCTATCCCTGAGTTGTCTTGGTCAATTATTAAGACACAGGTCAAGGCACTGATCAGTTCAGACACAAGTCCAGATGCTGGTTAGTTCAGACACAAGTCCAGATGCTGGTCAGTTCAGACACATGTCCAGATGTTGGTCACTGAGTCTTTTTACACAACCAAGTCTTGTATTCAGCCGACGTTTCAGTGACCGTCTGTCACCTTCCTCAGGGCAGTTCTGACTGGTTCACATTGCACTGCACACGTTTGGAAACCGCATTTGTTTGTTTTCACATAACCGGTAATGTTAAACCGCCTCTAGGCACAACATAGTTCCCTGCTACCATGCATATGTGTAGATATGTAAATATTGTACATTTGGGAATGCATCTGTAGCAGCGACACCTGTGCTGCTGTGCAATGTGAAGTCAGAATTGCCCTGATGAAGGTGACAGACGGTCACCGAAACGTCGGCTGAATACAAGACTTGGTTGTGTAAACAGAGTCTCTTTACTCAGTGTCTTACCAACCTGATGAAACTATTCAAGGAAGATGCTGCTTAGTTGAGACACAAGTCAAGATACTGGTATATGCTCTGACAATGTCATTAGGGTGATTAAAATCATCATAATCTAATTGCACCATTTGGATAAACTTTATTTTAAAATATGTATTATTCAAGGCACTGATCAGTTCAGACACACGTCCAGATGCTGATTAATCGTTGCCACTGGAAGTTGTTCTCCACAGACAGGACAGCTCACCAAAGCCTCAGTTTGAGCATCAGAACTGTTCGTGTGTCCTGCACCGTTCTTACCAGAACCACTCTGTGAAGAACTGTGCACATCTGAAGTCAGTCCTGAACATGTTGGCTTGTCCTGTCCCTGCACTGTCTGCTTTTGCTTTGGCTGTGTCTGACCGAACATGTCGGTGATCTTGAGGTTTTTAGAGCTGTCGGTTTTCTGCCTACTTCCAGTTGGCCTGGGTAATGAATCAGCACCGTCTTTGGTTGGAGTAAGCTTGCCTTTATGTCTGCTTCCTGAGTTCTGCTGTCCATTCAGCACATTATCAGACTTAATAGACAAAACGGATGTAGTCGGTTTAGAAGTACTGTCTGCTGATGTACCTAAGAGTCTGGGAAGAGCGGGAGGTTTGCTGATTGTTGACTGACTGCTGCCACCTGTCCTGTTTATAGAACTTGCACTTGAACCTGAACTTGTACTTGTACTTGCAGAAGGAAGACGTTGAGTAGAATTCGGTCCTTTGCCTGCAGCTGATGACCCTGACTTTGTTCCGAGGATGAAACCTTTTCCTGCGAACAGCTCTATGTTACCATAGCTGGTGGTACTGGCCGGCTTCTTGCTTGGACCGGCTCCTGGAATATGAAGAGAAAAAAATGTTTGTGCTTATTCATGACCACTCCTACTTCTATAAATAACAAGAAGGATCTTTCCTATATCAGTGGGAAAAAAGAAAAGCAGTGGGTGTCTGACAGTTTTTAAAATCTATCCAGTTGCTTGAGTAACTGTTTTCCTGAATATTCTAGGTAGTACTTAGTAATCTTCAAGCAGATCCAAGGGTGGAAAACACAGTATCAAATTGGCCAGGCAGTACCCATTCCCTAGGGAGAGTCCAATACGCCACCCAACGAATGGATACAGCCTGGCAAATATGATACTGTCTTTTGCCACCCTAGGATCTGCTTGATTTTTTTATTTTGATTTGACTGAAATTGCAACAATGCAATACACGCGGAGTAGAGGCAGCTGTTGCTGGTGTCGTGTCCCGCACATAGACACAAATACTGGACAGACAATACTCATTTTCACTTGAGTCAAGTGGGGAAAGTGGTGTAAAGTGCCTTTCCCAAGGGCACAAGATCGGTGGCATGTCAGGACTCGAACCCGGGACCTCTTGATTCCGAGTCGCGCACGCTGCCATTGCGCCACACGACCCACTTATAAAGAAGGATTTGAAGATTAAGGTAGTAGTGGAACTGCTACCTTCTCCTCCTCCAGTATCCTGGTCCTTCTTCCGCTTCCCCCCCTTCTTGTTCCCGTACCCCTCCGGCTCCTTGATCTTGTGGTACGTCCCGCCGCACTTGCGCTGGTGGTCGGCGAACCACGGGTCCCGGGCGGACGGCGGACGGTTCATGGCGCGGCGGACGATCCCGAAGTACGGCCGCCACTTCTGGCACGGCCCGTCGCAGCGCCACCAGTGCTGCCGGTACGCGTCCACCTCGTCATGGAAGTTGTGGTAAACCTGCATGATGCACAAAATGACTAATAAACTGGTGGACGTACCAACCACTAAGTATCTGATACCAGCCCAGAAAAGAACAAGAAACGGTCATGCCTTCAAATATCAGAGTTATCAACCAAGAATTGAGGTATTCAAAAACTCGTATTTCCCCAGAACTATCGTAGCCTGGAACTCGCATAGTTGGGGCATCATCACTAGAAAGCTTTAAACAACTCCTGCAATCAAATGGGCAAAGATTGAGTGTAACAAGTCGTTCGGTGTGATATAGCCAGCTGTCGACGCGTGCCTGCGAAGCTGGTGTGTTACGCCGAAGGGCGGTTATACCGGCTATATCGATACAGATACGGAGGAAGGGACGCAGTTACTAGTATCATTTGGTAGTTTTACTACATGTACTGTAGTAAAGAGGGCTCAGTTTCTTTATTGTGGGATGGAAATTTATAGTCCACCTCGCAGGGCTCGAAATTAATTTTTAGGAATAGGTGCACTGGTGCACCCAACCTACAAAATTGGGTACACAAAATTTTTTGGGGGTGCACCATATAAGATGAAATAAATAGAATGTCAGCAAAAACTAATTAAAAACTATTTCCAACGAAAGGTACTATACCAATCATTTTATCATTTGTCTGGCACTTAGATGTTCAGAATATACTGTATACTACTATACTTTCAACATCTTTACATACCTAAACCTACGAAAATATTTGGGTGCACTGGTGAACCCATAGAAAAAAATTGGGTGTACAGCTCCAAATTTGGGTGCACTAAGGTGCACATGCACCCGGTATTTCCAGCCCTGACCTCGTCAGGGAAGTTGTGGTAAACGGGCTAAAGGGTATCGTAATAAACTGAACTAAACCTACCAGGAAGGGAATACAGACTGACAGTCAGCATTTGGTAGTAAAGATGTAAGGAATGCTGCTCAGTAGGAAAAAAAGGCAAAGACGTGTACTGTAGTACAGAGGGCTGAATTTCTTTCTTCTGGTATGTAAATTTATAGTAAGTTTTGTAAGTTACAGAGACAAGTTTTCATTACAAACTACCGGTAAACAAAGGAAAGATAAACATACTCACTCTTACAGTCATACTAAGACTTAAAGGTAAAGTCAACTCTGATAAATAAAATGTCGCAATGTTCAATAAATAAGTTAACTCACAGAGATGTTTGTTCCTGCCTGTTTGTTAATCCTGTGCATGTGTTTATGGAACTCTGGGCCATGTGCATCGTGGTCCTGTTGAGAAAACGGACATTGAAAAACATTCTGTTATTTGCTTAATACATGGCATCTGTGTGGTGTAGTGGATAGAGCATCCGACTGTCAAGCAAGAAGACCCAGGTTCAATCCCCAGGGTTGGACCCAGACATGTCCGGACATGTACCAAGACGTTGTGCCCTTGGGAAAGGCACTTAACACACATTTCCCCCCTCAGTTAGAGGGTTCCACCAAGACGTTGTGCCCTTGGGAAAGGCACTTAACACACATTTCCCCCCTCAGTTAGAGGGTTCCTGGGCCCTACTAGGGTTTGGGTTGGTGTTAGGAAGAGCATCCAGTCATAAAAATCTTGCTTCAAAAAAAGACTTGTACCTGGTGCAAGCACGTCTAACCCCCGGTTGGGGAAAAATGACGTTAAATTTGGTTTAAAAAAAAAATGTATAAAACACCCAGTTTCTTTTAAACCTATAATAGTATTGTAGAAAAGGATATGTATCTTTGAATATCATATGTTTGCTTCTTGTTGATGACTTCTAATCATTATCTAATTGTAACGGTAAGAACATTTGCTGCTAATGTATGTTAAGTCATTCACTGATGTTGAATGATCAGGAGTGAAGTATGTACATGTAGGAATTAGTGCTGCATACCTAAACCCAATTTTAGGTTCAGGTCTGGATTCAAGTCCAGAGGTTTAGGTTCAGTTCCGGACTTGTAAGTCCAGACCTAAACCCATGGCATATACAAAATTGCATGTTGGCAACCTTACAATGTTGTCTGGGTGAAACTTTGGCCACATAACATGGAGGCCGACACTTGACGATGCCCAATGGCTTGATTATGTTTTCTTCATTTTGCAGCAAAGATTTTGGAAGGTTTTAGGTGGATTGGAAAGAAAAGGGGTATGTGAAATGGTCTTTCATGGTAGTAAGTCCGGACTCGGTTCTTGACTTTTAGGTTTTTTTGGACTTGAACCTAAACATTTTTACAAGTCCGGATCCAAGTCCAGTGAACCGGTATGCACCATTTGCTGCTAATGTATGTTAAGTCATTCACTGATGTTGAATGATCAGGAGTGAAGTATGTAGGAATGTCCCACCCACCTTGTTGTTGTGTGTTACGAAGAGCAGGGCGTGGATCATCTCATGCTACACAGGAGACAAGAGTAACAGAGAGTTATGGAACAAATTAAAGAAGAACAAGCTTGTGGTATGTATCCTGCTTGGCCTCGTATTTAAATGTTAATCTATCAGTGTGCTGCCTCTTAAATGAATAACACTACTTCCAGAAGACACTTTCTATGGTTTCTCTAAGACAAGGACATCTACAAGAGAGTCTCTCACAGATGTCCTTGTCTTACGAGACAGTCCCTGCTCTTCTCCTTCAAGGGTTTCTCTTAGTTTACACTTGTTATAATCAAGATTCATACGGTGGAGTTTAACAAATTGATAGGTGTAGTCCTAGTAGCCATATTTTCATGTGGCAACTCAGTTGCACATAATATGCAAAATGAAAATGAAGGTTGGGTTGCTGATGGGTTGCTGACATTGCTAAGTGGCTCAAGTACCCAGTGTGCATTTTATAGTATGATTGAGGGGACAAAGTACCCAGTGTATTACATGTATGGTTCATTGTACAGAGTGCACTGTGTACGTGTGTTCTAGCTGGGTACCATCCGGATTTTCGCTCCGCCACTTTTTCGAGCGTGGCGGAGCAAAAATCCGGATGGTACCCAGGCTGTAACCTGTGTTCATAACTTAGTACATCTCAACAGAAACTCGGTAGCCTATCGCCCATGTTCTTACCAGCAGTGTTTCTACCAAATCCTTCCTGGGTCGGAGCTTGAGAAGCGGGAGACTCAACTTGATACAGCACAGACCGCCTCTTCCCTCGTAACAGCACAAACCTGCACATCTACAAAAGTAGTACAATAGACCAGGAGAAAAGTTAGTCTAACTCTAACCTCAAGCCTTCGGCTTGGTGCAGGCATAAATGTGTACATGAAAGTCTGAATGTATGATATGACCATGCAGCATAATGATATAACATTTCACTGTTAGATCAAAATAGGCTATGGAGACAAATTATTATTATTTTACAATTTCAAAATGGAATCTTACTGCTTTTTTATATCAAATGCAGTAGCACAAAATGACTCCATCTTCTAACAAATTTCAAGCTTTCTGAATTTGTATATCAATTACTTGTGTAACTCGAGTAAGTATAAGGGAAAATGAGTTATGCAAGTTATGTAATAAATAAAGGACTAATGAGAAATTTTACTATTTTTAGAATGTAATTCAATTGTAAGCAAAAAAAGAACTTCATATTCTAACAAATTACATCTATGAAGTTTAGGAAAATCTGCTGTAGTTCTACATAATTTTGTATAATTCATACTTGCATAACTCGAGTAGTAAACATAATTTATGAGTTAACGTCAACGTTATGCAAGTTGGAATAACTACGAGTATTATTTTTAGAATGTTTACAATGTCATTCTCGGGCTCCATTTGACTTCCACACAGTCCAGCTTGCCCCAGAAGTACGTGGCGTTGAACTCCAGGAACAGGGCGTGCACGTTCGGGTTCGGGTCGGTCAGCTCCCACGACTGGTCCACGATCGACAGCGACCGGGCCCCGGGCGGAGGACAACCGCTACCCGAACCGGGGACGACAACAGGCCCGCCTGCAAAAAAAAAAAAAATTATGTTTTTTGAACGGCTACTCGTAACTGTTACCTAGTCTTTGGGAGTTTTTACGTGCTATTTTCTGATTGCATATAGACAACATAGCCGGCCTGGTTTAATTACCCTCGTTTTTAGAACTGGGCTAATCAGAAAACAGCCGAAGACCACCAAACCCCTAACTCTACTCTACTCTACTCGTACCGGCAGCGAGAACTAAAGGCCCGCCTTCGCCGTCAGACGACGCCACATTTTCCGCCATTTCTCTGTCAAACTGCTCCTGTAACTGCAGGGCTAGCACCAGGTCCGAGTCGCACATCTCTGATCCGGTCCTACAGTCTTCGGAGGGCGAGGAAAACTGGGGGCATTCCGCAGAAATGCTTTGATAATTTTGAATCTCGCTGACTTCTTGCCCGGGCCTGTTTATGTTGCATAACAATCGATGGTGGTCTCTCACTGGAGAGAATGTGGAAGGTTCCACTTTTTTAATCACTTGCAGAAGTGTAAACTTTCAAACTACATTTGCTCAGAATAAATTTATGTGAACTATCTATCATTCTATACTTAAACATATTCTGTATGGGCGAATTGATGGTAATTTTTTAAACTATAAAGAAAACTGGCTTCCTTTGTTGAATGGTTTACCCCAAGAAAACAATAGTTGCCGTTTTGCGGCAGGTTCCACAGGATTTACGACAGCCATGTGTTTGCGGTAACTGTTTGGGTGCACTCAACTTGGAGTTCACGCGGTAAAACTAGAAGATGTGAATCATAATATGTGGGTTATCTGGCGCAATTTTCGCGCCAAAGATCGTATATTAATACCTTCATGAGTGACGGGGTTGTCGTCAGTTTTGTTGACCCGATCTCCTGTTTGGTGACCACGGTTCGGCGGATGATCAGACTGGCCGCCCGGCTTGGGCGAAGTTCCCAGAGACAGTTGTCATCATCATCATATTATCTGACTACTTTTCATCACTCGTATGCAACTACAACATCACCTGGCAAGATTCTAACGTTATATCCAGTACAGGGATCGCTTTTACCAGAACGTAACTCGCTCTGTACTACTACTAGTAGTTTCCTGAACATGTCTGCCCAAGAGAGGACGTCCCCACAAACATCTGACTGCGAAGACGGAGAACAGCCGAAGGTGAACCGCCCTCCACCATCGGTGCCCTCCAAATCTGGCGTTCCTTCTTTCAGCAAGTTCCTGCCCCAAGGCTGGGTCCAACGTGCGGCAGGGGGAGGAGGGGACTTCAAGTTCAAGGGCAAGGGAGGAGGGGAGGGGCGGAAAGGGAGGAACAGTCCGTCGAAGAAGACACAACGACAGGAGGGTGGTCATCACACGGGGGACACTGGCGACAGGGGTGAGCTTCCTAGGACATGATGATGAGTAGGACTGTCGAAGTCATGTCAATGCGTGCTATCCATTCACAGTTTAATATAACCGGTGCAGTTGACCCCAAGGAGGTTTAAAAGAGACCTCCTTGTTGACACCAACCGAAATAATTTTCACAGGAAGCCAAATTATCAGAGATGGTCTCGAGAAATCCTGATGCTATTGACAGGATCACCCTGTCAACAACAGCATGTTATTTATCTATTGACCCGTCAATAGTGCAAACTTAAATGTGTGATTCTTTCAGTAGTGCAATATATTCTGTTATTGACAGGATCATCACAAACAGATGGCAACCGATCATCACAAACAGATGGCAACCTCCTTGATGGCACCGGGCTAGTAGTAGTAGAAGGTCATTGACCCTGCAAAGAAGATGCTCAAGTTACCTCATCTTCCTAAGATTCAGTATTGAGTATTCATGAATTTAAGGTATCAGTGTTGTATTGAAAGTTTTTGATATGATTATGAATGCGGACTGTAATAAATTTGATACCACTTGTTATTTGGCAGGACCTGGCAAGCCATCAGGAGGACATCCCCACACGGAGGCACCTCAGAACAAGCGAGCTCGCGTCAACTCCTCTGGAGATGCACAGAACAAGGGACAAGCTTCACCAGATCAGCAAGAACCTACTGGTCTGTCAGAGAGGGGGGAGAAAAAACATGGTACAGTTTGCTAGAGAGGATACTATACAGGGCTGGAAATACCGGGTGCATGTGCACCTTAGTGTGCACACCCAAATTTGGAGCTGTGCACCCAATTTATTTCTGTAGGTGCACTCGTGCACCCAAATATTTTCTTGGGTTTTCGTATTTAAAGAATAAAAAAGATGTTAAATGTATTAGGATACAGCGTGTTCTTAACATCCAAGTGTCAGAAAAATAATGTAATTATTGTTGTAGTAATTTTCTTCAGAAATGAAACGTATTTAGTTTTTGCTGACATTATATTTATTTCATTTTATATGGTGCACCCAAAATATTTTTGTGCACCCAATTTTTGAGGTTGGGTGCACCAGTGCACGGTGCACCTATTCCCAAAAATGAATTTTGAGCCCTGGGATATCTGTATCACCAGACAATGGGATACACAACAAAACAGTTACCAGTACTCAAGCAACTGGATAGATTTTGAAGACTCAAGACATATTTCAATAACTTTTGAAGTAGTATCCGCTACTTTTCGGCAGTGACAGTCACTGACAAAAAGTAGTGGATGCTACTAGAAACATCTGACAGTTTTCAAAATCTATCCTCTTGCTTGATTAACTTTTTTCCTTTTGTGTAATGAAATTTGAATTTTTGTAACCCTGATGCTTACAGTATCGCATAATTTATCCAGTAGCCAGGAGAACTGCACAGTGCATCATCTAGCACTGAAAGACTAGCCTCTGGCCCTGTTCTTAGCTACATGTAGGGACGAGAATTGACTTTTTCATTTTTGTAACCCTTACGTTTATGGTTTTGTTCTCTTTCACCCAGCCAGTAGCCCTGACGCCAGCCCGCTAACCCGAGGCTGGTACCACACTCCCGCCCACAGCCACGGACACCACAAGAGGAAACCCGGTCCAGGGTTTGACTTCTCGGTGATGTCCTACAACGTTCTGGCCCAGGAGCTTCTGATGGCTAACTGGTACCTGTACCTGGACTGTGCCGACCAGGAGGGGCTGAAATGGGACGTCAGGAAGGAGAAGCTGCTGCAGGAGTTCCAGCATTACAACGTGGATGTGAGTCTTCAAAATCCATGTTCTAGACCCTGGGCACAACAATAAGGAAGTACTCCCCGCTAGGGCTGCGTACCTTTTCGTAACATCAGGTACAGGTACAGAGGTTAAGGTCCAGGTCCGGACCTGTACATGTACCTGTACCTAAAAATTCACGTGCGTCACATGTTCTACTGAAATTCTTTAATAATAACAGAAACATACAAAATACAAGAGGTATGTTACAATATTTGCTTGTGTGTGGCAAACTTAATTCTGTTCTCACCATGTTGGATGCTGCCTGGTGTTTCCTGCAGGTTTTGTGCCTACAGGAGGTCCAGGAGAGCCATTATCACGACTTCTTCCTGCCTGAACTGCAGAAGCTAGGTCGGTTTTTACAGCTTCATTTTGTAGCACAATGATTATCCTTCTCTTGAAACACGACATACAATTGTGAAACATGTCTTGGGATGCAAAATTCTTGAATAACATCAAGTTCACAAAGGCATAGAAGAGTTCACAGAATATTGGAGTTTTCTTTTACACAACCAGTAATGTCTCTCACCTGCTTACCTGAATCCCACAATCCCAAGACGAACAGAATCTCCAGTCAGAGGCTCTGAGGAAAGTGTCTGATGGGCAGCGAAACGTAATTACTGCACAACTGAGAGATGTCACTGGTTGTGTAAAAGAAAACTCCAATATTCTATGTTCTACCAACCTGATACAATTATTTTCGGGGTTAAACGGTTCATGTTTTAAATGCTACAGAAAGGCATGATTTGTGTAAAAAAAACAATGTACTTCCTTCGGAAAATAGTTTCATCATGTTTGTACAGTATAGGATATAGGAGTTTTCTTTTACATAACCAGTATTGTCATAAGGCTAGCTTAAGTTTCAGTGTCTATCAGACACCTTCCTCAGAGCCTCTGACTGGAGAACTGCGATAACACAATCCCAAACGTCCCAAACACGATATCAAATGTTATCTTGGAAGTTCATCTGTGTTGGTAGAAGTCATTATGATCAAGATTGAATTGTGATTTCCAACACAATCACAGTTCAATCTTGATCATAATACAATATCAAAATTAATGTACTTCCTCACAGGTTACGAGGGGCTGTACAAGAAAAGGACGGGAGACAAGCCGGACGGTTGCGCCACCTTCTACCGGACCTGCAAGTTTACCCTGGTGAAGCACCGCCTGGTGGAGTACTACCGACCAGGTACTTCTAAATGCTGACGTCAACGTCAAAAAAACAGACTGTTGACTAGTGGAGAGAACTGAACTTGGAAAATGAACTAAATGTGCCTGTAATTAATTGTTTATCGCAAATTCTTGCCCGAGGGCTAATTGCAGAAACAGAAGAAACATGGTATAAAAACAGACAATTAGTACATATAGAACTACTGATAACTACTAAAAATAAGAAACTACTGGTAAAAACTTCTGGGTTTGACTTCTTTTTTGAAGACAGAGGAAGACAAAGGATCCCACTTTATAATGTGACTGTGTTGTATATGTACATGTTTGTACCATTTTTGTATATTGTTGGGTTCAATTTGTAATTTTTATGAATGTATGTTTTAATGTATGTGCCCAGGATCAATGGATCTGAGGTATTCCCTGGTAAAATAAATAAACTTGAACTTGTACTATCATGAAAGTTCATCTGTGTTGGTAGTTACATGTTTAAAGTTAAAACCTTTGGTCCAACACAAAAAGTTCTCTCACCTAGAGCTTTCGACCAGTCATATACATCAGGGCCCATCACCCTACATTGAACCGCGACGGGGGCCGACATCGTCTACCAGATACCTTTGACCCAGTGTTGACATCACACTTCAAAGAAGCCACATGACAAGCTTCACTGGGTCAGTCTACTGAGGAAGACCAGAGTGATTGGTCGAAAGCTCTGGGTGAGAGAACTTTTTGTGTTGGACCAAAAGTTTTAACTTTAAACACAAACTTGAACTTGAACCGACCAGGTACCGAGGTGCTGGACAGGGACAATGTGGCCGTCGTCGCTCTCCTGAAGCCCAAAACTGGACACGGCAACAAACGGAGGATCCACACCAACCTGTGCGTCGCCAACACCCACCTCCTGTTCAACAACCGGCGGGGCGACGTCAAGCTGTCTCAGCTCGGAGTTCTGCTGGCCGAGGTCGACCAGCTGGCGTTCGACCCCAAGGTCAGAAACTCTACAAAACGGACTCTCCCCATCACACGTACAACAAAATGTAACAACAGCCCTCTACCGTCCCTCTTAAGGCTGTTGAACGAAATGGAATGATACTGCTCCTAACTCTGTAAATGCCTCTCTTGTGCAATTTGTATACGAAATAGTTTAATGTAATGTTGAAATGTACAGTACTAATGTGAATGACCAAAATTTGAATTTCACTATGCTAAATGTATGTAATATCGTGTAAATATTTTTAATGTGTAACTCTATTACCACATCTTGACTCCAAGATTGTGCAGTCGTTAATGTTTTTAAAACAGGATGTACGTCTTTGAACGTAATTCAGCTTTATGCTGCAATGTTCTTGATTTTATCAATAAACCATTTTTGATTGATTGATTGATTGAAGGTCAGGTACTGGGACGGCAAGGTCAGGGGTCACCCCGTCGTTCTGTGCGGAGATTTGAACAGCGCGCCCTTCTCGCCGCTCTACCAGTTCGTGAACGCCGGGCGGCTCGTGTACGGCGACTACGAGAGGTCTGTTTGATACATTAGCATGAAAGTTCATCTGAGTTGGTAAATTACATTATGAAAAAACTTAAACTTTTCTCCAACTCAAAATTTGACTCACCAGAAATTTTTGACTGAATCACTCAGTCTTCCTCAGCTATCTGACCCAAATGCTGTGGACACGTGATTTTTCCCACGTGTGACGTCAGCAAAGGGTGAAAGGTTGTCTGAAGTCGATATTTGTCCCAATTACCAGGGACCTGCCATTCTGTACAAGCAAAGAATGACAAGTAAACCATATATTTATCATTATTGTGTGAAAGGTCCGAGATCTCGGGGCAGAGCTCGCCGTCCCGATACAGGAACTGGATGCGTCCCCCGCTGTGGCCACCGCTGGTCGGCATTACCGACCACTGCCAGTACCACCAGGCGGTGTTAGAGAGGAGACAGCTGGCCATGTTACGGGACGCCGAGAAAGGTACGTCATGGCCTGTATAGTTTCTGTATCTGTATAGCCGGTACAACCACCCTTCAGTGTAACACACCAGCTTCTGTATCTGTATAGCCGGTATAACCGCCCTTCGGCGTAACACACCAGCTTCTGTATCTGTATCTGTATAGCCGGTATAACCGCCCTTCGGCATTACACACCAGCTTCTGTATCTGTATAGCCGGTATAACCGCCCTTCGGCATTACACACCAGCTTCTGTATCTGTATAGCTGGTATAACCACCCTTCGGCATAACACACCAGCTTCGGTATCTGTATAGCTGGTATAACCGCCCTTCGGCGTAACACACCAGCTTCTGTATCTGTATAGCCGGTATAACCGCCCTTCGGCATTAAACACCAGCTTCTGTATCTGTATAGCTGGTATAACCACCCTTCAGTGTAACACACCAGCTTCTGTATCTGTATAGCCGGTATAACCGCACTTCAGCGTAACACACCAGCTTCTGTATCTGTATAGCCGGTATGACCGCCCTTTGGTGTAACACACCAGCTTCTGTATCTGTATAGCAGGTATAACTGCCCTTTGGCGTAACACACCAGCTTCTGTATCTGTATAGCCGGTATAACTGCCCTTTGGTGTAACACACCAGCTTCTGTATCTGTATAGCCGGTATAACCGCCCTAAGGCGTAACACACTAGCTTCTGTATCTGTATAGCTGGTATAACCGCCCTTCGGCATAACACACCAGCTTCTGTATCTGTATAGCCGGTAAAACCGCCCTTCGGCATAACACACCAGCTTCTGTATCTGTATAGCCGGTATAACCTCCCTTCAGTGTAACACACCAGCTTCTGTATCTGTATAGCTGGTATAACTGCCCTTCGGCATAACACACCAGCTTCTGTATCTGTATAGCCAGTATAACCGCCCTTCGGCATAACACACCAGCTTCTGTATCTGTATAGCCGGTATAACCGCCCTTTGGCATAACACACCAAACTTCGTATATATACCCATACACAATGTATATAGACTGATAGAGTGTGCTCAAGTTTTAATTGTACAAATGTATTTGGTTTCATACATAGATACATTGGCATTTGAAAATATGGTAGTTCTCATGTAATTGTGTGCTACCGCGTACTATCTTTTGTACATTGGTAATGTTAACTTTTAAACGTAACCTCTACCAGGCTTCATAAGCAGCTGGAAAGAGTAGAAACTGTCCAAATGGACAGATAACACGCCAGGGGAGCTTGTCCGCTAAAGAGTACAGCTCGCCGCTCCCCTGACATGTTATCTGTCTACCGGAATTTCATTTGGCCAATTTCTACTCTTTCCAGCCATGTTACGGGATGCGGAGAAAGGTACAACATGGTCTAGACGGCTTAATATGCAGTCTACTTTTGTACATATGCGTATAGAGTGTGCTCAAATTTTAATTGTATTTGTCCATATACATTGGCATTTCAAAATGGTAGTTATCATGTAGTTATCATGTGTGCTACCAGATCTTTTGTACTGATTATAGTAATTGTAGAAAGGTAGTACCTGGTAGCTCTAAGCGCAAAACCAAGAATAAGTACATGGTGTAGAAGTACTTTCAGTTTCATGGTCTTACCGACGAAATGCCTATACATGCACTACTTTCTTTTATAGAGTACAATGATGATGTTGACATAATCTAACCTAATACCAGGTTTGGGAACTGGCTGGAAAGAGTAGAAATTGACCAAATATACAAATAACATGCCAGGGGAGTAGGTCTGCTGAAGAGTACAGATTGCCGCTCCCCTGGCATGTAAGCAGAGGTTGGATTGGCGTACAAAAAAATTCCAGTGCAAAATAGAAACCCTGATAAAAAAGCCGATACCAAACATACCTAAAATAAGCCCAAACCTCTGGTTGGAGAGTACAAATTATACTCTTTCCAGCTGCTTCCCAAAGCCTGGTAGAGGCTAGACTTGACCTTGTTTGTGCCACAGGTGTTTCTGTGACTCCTACATCAGCTGCAGTACGACAGGCATCCAGTGAAGAACCTGCACAGTGTGACGACGATGCACCCACGCCCTCTCCTCTGTCTGTCAGCTCAGACGCACAATCAAACCCCGACGACGGGCCAGATCCAGTAAAAACTGAGGCAGAGTACGGAAGTCATGTTGTGGAACTAGACCAACCCTCAGTTACAGTATCTTCTGACAGTTTCCCAACTCCTGGTGAGACAGTAGCGCCGGCAGACGGTGGCTGTCAGAACGTCTTGCCATCGGTGTCTCCCCCGCCTCCTTTCTCCAGCTGCCTGCACCATCCGTTCAACCTGCGCTCTGTGTACTCCCACTACACCGCAGACCACCAGCCGGAGGCCACCACGCACCACGGACGCGCGAACTGTACTGTAGACTACATCTTCTACACGGCCAGGCACTTCGAGACGACACTTGATGGAGAACACGTCGGCCACGGAAGGAGACAAAGGCCCAAGTACAGGGACGGAAAACTGAAGCTGCTGTCTAGACTTTGTTTACCGTCAGACAAGGACCTGGAAAAGGAGGGAAGTTTGCCCAATAAAGACCACCCTTCTGATCACCTCCCACTTATAGCCAAGTTTAGACTCACCGACAAGTGAAGTCTGCAGCAGTTTCTCCTGAAAGTTCATCTGTGTTGGTAGTAATCATAGTAAAATGTTGAACTTTATTCCGGCAACACACAATTATACAGACTGAGATCAAATTTTCAAATTTCAGCGACCACTGCCGCCTTCATCAGGATAAATTAATGACCAATCAGTGATCTCGTGAGAGTTACGGTTTACACAGCACAGCAGTTTCTATTGGTGCCAAGAAAGTATGGAATGCACGTGATGCGGTTTTACCTTGATGGTGGAGATTATGTCAGAGATGCAACGTTACATGTATACCTCTTGTTTCAAACGCGATACTGGTAGTTTTCCAGGCAAATTGGCTGGGTTGGAACATTTTCATCAAGATTTGTATTTCATGTACTATGTAGTTCACAATCACATGGGCAATGTGTGATGGTGACAGACACATTGGTATAGACTGAGGCACATGTCCCATCCAGCGGTCTAGGGACCAGCACGTCGGCAGAACGTACTGCGCCTGCGCAGAACCCTGGATTTTCGCGGTTTTCGTTGGATTTTTGGTCAACGTTGCATCAGAATTTTGCCTGTTGCAGAGGATATTTTTTCCGACATAACATTTGAAAACTACTGTCGGAATGTTAACCTTATATGAGCAAATACAAGCTTATATGAGACGTTCTGCCAAAGTGCTATGCACAATACATTATGGGTTTTGCGCAGGTGCAGTACGTTCTGCCTACATGCTCTAGGGACCTACATTTCAGAAGGGCTGATTTTGTTTGAAGAAGAATGTTTAGGACCACTGCCATCACTACTCTGATTAAATTAACATGTTTGTCAAGATGAAATGAGAAAAACTACAACAAATTTTTTTTCACTCATTGACACTACCGAGTAGCTGTAAAGAATAAAGATGTAAAGTAAATGCTCCTTTTATGAGGTTGACCTGCTTGGACCAGATTTAATTTTAGTGGACCAGTTTTATTCTATGGTATTTGCTGTTAAGGCCACACCAATTTAATTTGTTGGTTCTCGGATTTTTTCAGAAAAAATATGAAGCGACAGGGCGAAAAAAAATAAAAATAAAAACAGGTCTAGGCATCCTATTATAGGCTTAAATGCTACGGAATGAGCCATGAAGTCAACACAAAAGGCTAGGTTAAAATTTAAACATTGAATTTTGAACTTTTAATCAAACCACTGCAATGATAGATGGGAAAACTGTAACAACTAGGAAGAAA